TTAGGAAGCCACAAAGAGGATGTTTGGCAGGGTAGAGTTTATGAGTAAGAGGTCCAGGAAGGGTTGCCTAGGTGACTGAGCCTGTGGGTGGAGGACTGGGTCAAGTTGTTTCTTTTCTTGAGCTGATGTTCTAAGGAGCTGTTACGTAAAGGTTAACTATGTGGCCTGCCAAGAATGGCCTAGGATCTCATGCCAAGCCCTGAGATTTGGCTCCCAACATAGATTAGAAGAAAGGATATGTGTTAGGTAGACTTTTTGGGGGAGTGTGGGGGGGTAGTAGGGTAGGAAGGGAGGGAAGGGAACTGGGATTGTCATATAACTCAACCTTGTTACTAATTCAAATTAAAACAATGATTTAAAAAAGAAAGCAGGCTTACTAAGCCAGTAAGCAGCATTCCTTCAAGGCTTCTGCTTCAGTTTCTGCTTTGAGTTCCTACTTTGAGGGTTCATGCCCTGACTTCCTTTGATGATGGTCTGGGATGTGGAAATGTAAGCTGAATAAATTCTTTCCTCCCCAAGCTGCTTTTTTGTTTTGTTCGTTTGTTTGTTTTTCGAGACAGGTTTCTCTGTGGCTTTGGAGGTTGTCCTGTCTTGTAGACCAGGCTGGTCTTGAACTCACAGAGATCCACCTGCCTCTGCCTCCCGAGTGCTGGGATTAAAGGTTATGTGCCACCACCTCCGGGTCCCGAGCTGCTTTTGATCATGATGTTTTTTTATCATAGTAATAAAAATCCTAAGACAATGACCCTTGGAATTCCTAAAGGAGCTTGCAAATTTTTCAGTAGTGTCTGTAGATGGAATCAAAATGCAACTTCTTCTACTTTCCTGCAATTCTTCACAGTTGTTAATAAATTTTTTTACCATCAAATTATGGAAACTTACCTCAGTCATTTCAGAGTTTCTTTTATCTATACATTTTCTTGGACATTTTAACTAAATTGCAGCAGGCTTTTATGACAGCAGTAAGAAGAAAAACAATGACTAACCCTCATGTGCCCTTACTTTCCACTTAGCCTACTAGATTTATATGCCTTCTCTATATTAGCTAGTTTAATCCTTACAACAGCCCAAGGTAGAATATACCACTAACTGTTCTATTTTACATATCAGGGGATAGATAGATAGATAGATAGATAGATAGATAGATAGATAGATGTAATAGATAATAATAGCTAAGATGTACACCCAAAGAAACAAAATCCATGTCATTGCTATAGTTCATGCTCTGAACCATTAACCCAGATCTCCCTACTCTCCCGTGTAGACATGATAGCTAACCTTGAAGGTAAACTTTACAGGATTAGACTCAAGTCTGTGAGGGAGTTTCTAGATTAGGTTAGTAGAAAGACCGTCATCAGGTACCTTACTCCGACCTCCGTGGCTGTACCCTGTGAGACAAAATTACCATTCTTTCCTTAAGTTGCTTTTATCAGATATTGCACAACAAGACAAGTAAGTAATGCAGTAAGCAAAAGAATTGAAGAAGAGGTAGTATTTAGTGTGAGTAATTGTGGTGATATTTTGTTTGTGATCTAACAAATAAAGCTTGCCTCAAGATCAGAGTGTGGAGCTAAGCCACTAGTTAGCCATAGAGGCCAGGCAGTAGAGCTACACACCTTTAATCCCAGCACTTGGGAGGTGGAAGCAGATAGATCTCTGTTGAGTTCAAGACCACCTTGGGCTACACCAGAGTGATTCAATCTAAAAGACAAACACCTTTGATTCCAGCACTTGAGATAACACGCCCTTAATCCCACCACTAGGGGGGTGGAGACAGGAATATGACTGCATGGAGAGAGGAATATAAGGCGGGGGAAGACAGGTGTTCAGAGCATTCAGTCTGAGGATTCCTGGAGGCAGGATCTCCCATTCGATCTGAGGATTTGGCAGAAGTAAGAACTAGTGGCTACTGCCATTTCGTGGACTCCAGGAAACAGAGAGCATCAACCAAAGCAGATCCCGAAGTGCTCAGGTGGGCCTGTCGGAGTGTTGGGAATTTCGGTGTTAGAACCCAAGATCTCGAAATGCATCGTGACTCCTGTCCGTTAGAACGTAAGGTGTATGTAGGTAATCTTGGGAACAATGGGAACAAGACTGAACTAGAGCGTGCTTTTGGCTATTATGGACCACTGCGAAGTGTGTGGGTTGCTCGGAACCCTCCCGGCTTTGCTTTTGTTGAATTTGAGGATCCCCAAGATGCGTCTGATGCTGTCCGAGAGCTGGATAGAAGAACACTGTGTAAACGCCGTGTGAGAGTGGAACTTTCGAATGGTGAAAAAAGAAGTCGCAATCGTGGCCCACCTCCCTCTTGGGGTCGACACCCTCGAGACGATTACCATAGGAGGAGTCCTCCACCTCGGCGAAGATCTTCAAAAAGGAGAAGCTTCTCTCGAAGTCGGAGCAGGTCACTTTCTAGAGATTGGAGAAGAGAAAGGTCTCTGTCTCATGAGAGAAACCACAAGCCATCTCGATCCTTCACTAGGTTTCGTAGCTGATCCAGGCCATATGAAAGGAAGAGAAGACCAGTTTGCTAAAGAAGTGGTGTACAGAAAATAACTTCATCTGACAGGAGTATGTACTGGAAATTCAAGTTTTGTTTGAGACTTCATAATCTTGGTGCATTTTTAAGATGTTCTAGCTGTTCATATTTGCTTTGAACTTCAGTTTTTCATAGACTGAAATCAACCTATATTGTGGCCAGTTAAAGTGCAATGTGTTAATGATATAGAAACCACTGGCAGAATTGAAATAAAGCTCTAGTTTGTCTAGAAGCTGGGATACGGTGTGGAGCTGTCGGTAAAATGATAGGCAGTCTTTAAAAGCTGTTAGTGAACACCAGCTAACAGGTGGGAACTGCACTCTGAAGGCTTTCAGAGATGTCTTACTGATTGCTATATATGGACCCAAAGCTGGAACATTCTTTATTTGGAAATGGAAGACTTTAAGTTACCTGTGTCCTATCAGTGCAAGGGGACATTGTAGAGCTGAACCTTTGAGTTACTGTGCAAGATTTCTTTTTTCATGCTGTCATTTGTAATATGTTTGTGAGAATACTTGGGATTAAAGTTTTGATTACAAATTGTTATTTAACTTGAAAGCCTGTTTTTCCTTGCACACTCAAATCTATGAGCTTGGTGTCAACTCCAAGTATAACATTCCTATTGGAATCCATACTTATATTTTCTTGTAAAGTGCTTTTGGATTAATAAAATACTAGCATAATTGTGTAGTAGTCAGTTGAGCAAACCCACTGTCACAGTTGTTCTTATCCCTGGGGAAGCAGTTGGTTATCCAGTTTTTTCTTTGTAAGCAACATAACTAAGAGGCACTGGATTTAGTGAATATTTTTTTTGCCTTTGGTTGTCACCTTCTAAGTCATTTTTTAGGAATTGAAGCCAGTTCAGGATCATGACACTGACATTTTAAAGTAGCATCAGTGTAGTATATTGTAACTCTTAAAATGGCTTTTATCTTCAGCATGAAAACATTCAACAAAGTTATAAAATTAGGTTTCATATTTGTAACTTGAGGTCTTGCATGGGATTCCAAACTGGTCCATCATGGTATAAAATCCACCATATGGTTCAATGTGAAGGATGCACAGTTGAATCTGGAGGCCTGCATACCCTTTCTCTTAGAAATCTGGAGGAGTTGTGGGTTCAGACTTTTTTGTGTGTGCAATTAGATTAAATCAAAATCCAACAGTCAAAATATCCAAAATATACAATGAACTCAAGAAGCTAGCCACAATGAATACCAAACAATGAAATTAAAAATGGGGTGCAGAACTAAATAGAGAATTCTCTACAGATGAATCTAAAGTGGCTGAAAGACACTTCAGAAAATGCTCAAAATCCTTGGCCATCAGAGAAATGCAACTCAAATCAGTCTACCTCAAGATCCAGCAATTCCTCTCTTAGGCATAGACCCAAAGAATGCACATTCATACAACAAGACATATGTTCAACTATGTTCATAGCAGCGTTGTTTGTAATAACCAGAACCTGAAAGCAACCTAGATGCCCCTCAACTGAAGAATGGATAGAGAAAATGTGGTACATTTACACAATGGAGTACTACTCAGCAGAAAAAAGCAATGGAATCTTGAAATTCACAAGCAAATGGATGGAACTAGAAGAAACCATGCTGAGTAAGGCAACTCAGTCACAAAAAGACAAACATGGTATGTACTCACTCATATATGAATTTTAGACATAGCGCAAAAAATTACCAGCCTACAATCCTCTTCACCAAAGGAACTAGGAAACAAGACTCTATAAGAAGAATTCATGGACCCCAGAGAAGGGGAAGGGGACAGGATCTCCTGAGCTAATTGGGAGCATGAGGAGCCTTCATCCAGTGTCTGATGGAAGCAGAGGCAGACAGCCACAACTAAACACTGAACTGAACTCTGGAACTCAGTTGCAGAGCAGGAGTGAAGAACAAAGAGGTTAAGACCAGGCTGGTGAAACCCACAGAATCAGCTGACCTGAACAAAGGGGAGCTCATGGACTCCAGACTGATGTCAGGGAGGTCAACCCAAGACTGATACATACCCCTGAACGTGGATGTCAATGAGGAGGCCTCGGCACTCTATGGGGTCTCTGGTAGTAGATCAGTGTTTATCCCTGGAGTAAGAAAGGACTTTTCAAGCCCGTTCTACGTGGCAGGATGCTCTCTCAGCCTGGACACATGAGGGAGGGCCTAGGCCCTGTCCAGGATGATATGACAGACTTTGGGGATCCCCCATAGAGGGCCTTACCCTCCCTGGGGAGCAGAGGGTGGATGGGGTAAGGGGCTGGTGGGGGAGAAGGGGAGGGAGAGGGGGAAGGGATTGACATGTGAAGCATGCTTGTTTCTAATTTGAACTAATAAAAAATAATTTAAAAAAAAACTAGTGGTTGACTGCTCTACTTCTCTGATCTTTCAGCATTTACCCCTATATCTGACTCAAGGTTTTTATTATTAAGGCCAATTAGAATTTGAGCTACAGATCATCGCTGATGTTGGGTAGTTACATGCTTCTTCTCCACCAACACACACAGGGCCTGAAGGCTCATCCTTGTTCCTCACCCATTTCCCCCAGGCCTCCTAATATCTGGCTTGCTCCCATCCTCCTTTTGGAATCACCCTGAAGCTCTCTCACCTTGTTGAGCTGTGGCTACTCTGTTCACCCACACAAAACCTTGTAGATCCAGGTAAAACCTCCAACCTGCCTTTTGGCTCCTCCCTCCACTCTGCATGAGCATAAAGCTCTTCTCTATTCCTCTAGATCTCTTAACTCATGTAGGAATTCATCTCCCACTCCAATATGGACTCACAGTGTCCACAAACTACTGTCCCTTCTTGGAGCTTCTTTCCATAGTCTGGGAGATCTTTATTTAGTGAGACTCAGGTCAGCATTTAGTCTCCACCCTAAGTTCTTCCCAAGTCTATGGCTTAAAATCTTTCCATCTACCACTGAAGTCAATGCTTTAAAAATTCAAATCCAGTAGCCAGTTTCCATTTCAACCCTTGAGCACTTAATTACATAAATATAAAAAAGAGCCAGAGGAGCTCTGGGAATGGAAACTGTCCGATAATGTTATTGAGATAGAATATATTGAAAAAAAAAAAAGAAAAGCAATGTAGAAGGAAGCATAGTGGCACACCCCTTCAACTCCAGCACTTGGGAGGCAGAGGCAACTATGAGTTCCAGACCAGTTGATTTACATAGAGCTAGAACTACATAATGAGAACTTTTCCCAAACAAAAAAAAAAAAAAAAAAAAAAAAAAAAATTTTCCCAAAAAAAAAAAAAAAAAAAAAAAAAAAAAACGTTAGCGGAGGAAAAGTTCATTTTATCTCAGAATTCCAATTCCAGGTTATAGTTCAAGGTGGCAGGGACTCAAAACAGTCCATCGCATCTAAAGGCAAGAGCAGAGAGATAGGAATGCATCCATTGTTACTAATCAGTTCACCTTCTCTACTCTTACACAGTCCAGGACCCAAACACAGGGAATGGTGCTGCCTGCAGTGGACTGGATATTTCCACCTCAATTAGCAATCAAGACAATCCCCCACAACCTAACCTAGACAATTGATCATTGAGACTCTTTCCAGATGACTCTAGGCTGTGTCAAGTTGCCAATTAAAGCTCTCTCTCTCCCTCTCTCTCTCTCTCTCTCTCTCTCTCTCTCTCTCTCTCTCTCTCACACACACACACACACACACACACACACAACAATAACAACAAAAAATATGATGCTATAGCGATAGCAGCTTCATATGTTATCTGACTTTTGCTTGTCCTATACCATTTGGGTTTGTGTAAGTACACTTGATGGTGTTTGTGCAATAACAAACTTGCCTAACACATTTTTGGAACATATTTCCACCAATAAGGAACATGATAGGCAAATAGACAGCAGGGGGAGAGGAGAGAAGATCAGTCTGTTACTATTTAAAAAAAAAAAAAAAAAAAAAACGAAGTCTCATTTGGGTGGTAGGATGAAGCTCATTCCCATTGTGAATAATAGATTAGTTTGCTGAAACTCCACTGATTAAAGTGTTCCTGCAGTTTGAAACTACATCAGCAGAAAAGGGCAGAGCAGTGTCTGGCATAAGGTCTGAGTGTTTTGACCTTGACGAGGCAGCACATAAAATCAACAAACAGGTAAGCATTGTCCCTGTTCCTGTGATGTTTACTCAAAAAGTTATTAGTTCAGCAGTTTCTGAATGTAGACAAATTTAAGAGAAGACTAAATCAGGCTGTCTCCAAAGGGGTAAGACTTGACTACAGCCTAGCAGAATGAAGGCATTCTAAAGCAGTGGTTCTCCACCTTCCTGATGCTGTGACCCTTTAATTCCTCGTGTTATGGTGACCCCCAACCATAAAGTAATTTTTGTTGGTGCTTCATAACTGTAATTTCACTACTATTATGAATCATAATGTAAGTTATTGATATGCAAGATATCTGATATACAACCCCGGTGAAAGGATCATTTGACTTTCCAAAGGGATCGTTACCCATAGGTTGACAACCATTGTTCTAAAGAGATACTTGTGCCTTTCCTTTGGTTATCAGAATATTGAAACAAGGCACCCCAAGAAATTGGAAGTTCCCCAGGAATCTCACACTAAGGAGAAAGACATGGGCTGAAGCCTGGTACCTGCCAGGGAGTGAACTTACCTCCCAGGAAGAGATTTCACATAGTTCCAACCTATTGCTGAGGAGACTGGAGCCTAGATAAAGATGGGTCAAAGATGGATAGAACCACACCTTGATTGACCAGGACTTCTTAATTATGCATTCATGTTGCCCTGTATTTAAACCTAATCCCCTGTTAGGAGCCCAGAAGGTGGACATGGGGAGGGCCAGTGAACCTCTTTGTCCCTCTTCACACTGTGGCTACACTGAGTAAAACTCCTCTCTCTGCTTTCCATTATTACTTGTCTCTTTAACTGGGCTGAGCCCAGGTTGTTGAACTAATGAGTTCACCTTCTCTACTCTTAC